GAGCTAAATGGCGCAAAACACAAGCACACAAATCGGAAATTTACGTCAAGACTTTTTGCGCACTTTGACCTTTCGATGTTCAAATCCAAGACGGCTTTTTCTGGGATTGGCTCCCCCATCGTTGAAAACCCTGCGTTGGAGCAGCTCGAAACGAGCAGTATATTGCCTCCTTCATCCCCTACCCACTCTTTTTCTCTGCCCCTCTTGGTCTCCCCTCCTCCTTCGAGCACCTCGACGGCGTTGACCAATGAATTTCTGATTCGAAACCGGGCGGGGGGACACATTCCGATGGCGTCTCATGCTCCGTATGGGCCAGCCGTCAGGCGCTTCGTTTCCGAAACCATGTGCCTTTTTGTGGCGATGCGCTGCGAGACTTTTCCCCTGTTATCATTTTCTATCTTCGTCCATAAGTTTTCGAATAGCTGCCGTAATTTTTGGGTATTTTAAAGGGAGCGTGACAGACCAATTCGTTCGTCTGCACTCGGCTTCAATCTCAGTAGAAAATCCGGCTTATTGCGCTTAAAATTCAGTTGCGCTACCTAATCCATGTGCGGTAAAAAAGAGAGGGCGAGAGAGAGATACGCAGAGAGCGAGGCAAAGATAGGAAGAAAGCGAGTGACGCAGCGCGTACGGACGTAATTTATGGGCACCTATTTTTTCGTTTCAGTTTTGCTTGGTGGCACTACCCCTTTAAAACCGTGAATATAACTCAATTTTGGCTTTTGGGATCGACACCTTTCAGGTCTTCGTATTTTGGTCCAGCCGATGATGTTTTCACACTCGGTTTTGTCATAGACCTCAGCGACCGTAGACCATTTATTGGGTGGCTTCGTTGCAAGGCCTCTTGCAGATACCGAACCGCTAATAGGCTCTAAATTGGCCGGATTACTCCAGAAAATCGTGGCTAGACCCAAGAATCCCTAGCCTATCCTATGAAAAGCTCTAGAAAAAACCTAGGACCCCCAAATCTGATATGGCGTCGGCGGTGGCCTCTAAAAGGTACCCAGAAAATAGGGAGCAACACTTCTCGGGTATCACTCCTTGTTAGCTGGGATTTGTGGAAGGAGAGAGAGAGTAAGAGAGAGAGAGAGAGAGAGAGAGAGAGAGAGAGAGAGAGAGAGAGAGGGAGAGAGAGAGAAAGACCGAGTGAGCACGAGATATTAGGAGACGCAGGAACTAGCCCTTATCCTACTTGGGGGTGCGACTAATTGGGGCAGGAAATTGGAGATGTGCCCTCGGGCTACGGGCCACTACCTCCCTTTTACTTCTTCTACTTCTACTTTCTTCTTCTTCTTCTTCTCCCCCTACTTCTTACTTAGGGAGAAGAAGCTGAGATGAGCCCCCCATGCTCCCTTAGCCGCCCTCTACTCCACTCCACACAACCCTCATTAGGGACACCCCCTAGGGCCCTGCCTCTCTCTTGCTCGGAGCACCAGTAGGAGCAGGAGCAGGAGGCCAAACTTATTGCTCCCTCTATGACGCTGTGCTATTGCTACAAGTTGCTTGTTTTTGGCTTCTTTGGGTACTGTAGGCCAGGAGCGTGATTTTTTTCGTTTAGAAGCTTGAACTTTTTTGCGATTTTTTGGGTCGGGTTAAGCCACGGTAGATTATGCTTGGTTAATAAGGGTGGTTATATTTGCCATTTTAGCGGGTCTATAGGAAATTTGATCGGGCCAAGATTCTTTCTACCAACGAGTAAGGTATTGTCGAATTTTTAGAAAGTATCTCTGCCTAAATGCCTAAAATACCGTTTTCTAACCTTTGTGAAGTATCGTAGTAAACTTTTCTCTTTAAAAAAGCCAAATTACACCGTACTCCGACCGTTCCTTTACGTTGCAGGTTTTTTGCTTTCAGAGGTCAGAGAGGCAACTACGAACGGCTGCTGTTAAAATCTGCTTTTTTCGAGCCTACATATTTTTACATATTTCTTACCGCGTCCTTTTCCTGGTCTTCTAAAAGTTGTTTCCATTTTTTTGAGCATCTCCGGTGTTACGGTGGTGGCCGGATAGCTCAAATTTTTCTACCTGACTACCCCCATCATGATTCTAGGTATTGGATTAAGTAGTCCATCCGAACTTGTGCCCCTGAAAAACTGCTCTTTCCGGTTTGGTAGATGGATACGGTTGCGGTTTCCGGTTTTCCCGTTTTGCCTTTCTCTCTCGCTTTCTCGCTCTCTCTCTCTCTCTCTCTCTCTCTCTCTCTCTCTTTCTCTCTCTTTTCTCTCTTTTGCGCTTTCTCTCTCCCTCGGGCTTTTTCTGAGTTCCAACCCAAACGAACGCCGCCAAGCCCCCGCCACCCCTCCAAACGAAGCAAATATTTTCCGGGCAGTTCCCTATTTCCGGTCTAATTACGCGGTGATAAGTGAGAGAGGGAGGGAGAAGCGGAGAGAGCTGAGAAGGAGGGCTAGAGAGAAATATGCCCTGGGGGCACAGGAAGGAGGAGCCCGGGTGAGGGAGGGAGGAGGAGGAGGGGAGAAGGGGAGGCTCACCGACGGAAGGAATGGGACACACCGAGCCGCCACACACACCCTTGCAGCTCTTCTTTTTCCTGGGTTTTTATTGCTTACGTATTTTTTTTTGAAAGTTGAAATGACTCTTTTGCCGTTTCTCTGCCTCTCGCTCAGCTCACTCTCTCACACACTCTGACTCTCCTTGACTCGCTCACTTACATTCGTTCCCTCCCTGATAATCTCTGCTAACTCTCCTTTCCTGTAATTTGAGGCACTTCTTAAATGATCTCTGCTGGTTTGCCGAATGTCGCTTTATCTCTACGTTAATCCCACGAATTTCTGCTAGATTACCTAATTATCGCTTTTTCCGAAATTGCTCCTAAAAAACCTTTTACTGAAGAAAATCATATATCGCGATTCTCCCAAGGAACCTCTGCTAGCTGCCCTCTTCCCCTTCCCTATCAAGGCAACACTTCCCGCATTCAATTGAGCCCTTTTTGCCCCCGTGGCCTCCCTCCTTTTCTTTCGTTTTTCGTCACCCCCGACGGGACTCCCTTTTTGACGCTTCTGCCCCCTGGCCCGTGGCTGGCTTATTAGGAGACGAAAACGATCCCTTACAACTCTTGCGTCTTTCACACCTCCTAGCCAAAGAGAGAGAGAGCGAGAGAGAGAGAGAGGGCGAGGGAACGAGAGAGACAAAGCCACACACACACCACGGCATCACGAAAATTGAGCCCTATCCTGTGGCCTTGTTGCCTCCTTCGTGCTGGTGGCCCAGTGTGGCGGCTCACATTTTGACACCGAATTCCTGGCCCTTGGCTCCCTCTAAAAAGCTAATTATTTTTTGGTTTGAGGTATACGGTATTAGAAAAATAGAATAAATTTAGTATATCAATTTCAGTTGATACAAACTAATTTTATTTATTAAAAATTCGGGATTTGACTTTCTTACAATCAGTTTTCCTCGGAATTAAGCTCCCAAAGGGCCTATGTCTCAAAAATTGCGAAAATAAATATTATGATATCTTGATATGAAATAAAAATAATGTTAACCCAAATAAAATTTATCAGATTTATATTTATTACTATTACAATTTGAATTCAGGCGCTTTTCGAGATATATGCATCACTTGTAAGGCACAATTTGTTATATTTTACGCCGCTAATTTTCATTACAGAATTCCTCTATAAAAACAATATTTTGCGATTATTTTAACCTTTACCTTTTACGTTTTAAAATAAATTATTTGAAAACGTGAACCAAAAATACAGAATGATTTCTATTTTTCCAAATAACATTTTTTGTTTTACTTCACATTTCACACACCAAAAAATAAGATGTCGTGTCGTCAAGGAAGGTTTTCTTTTGCTTCCCTCTTGCCTGGAAAAAATTACTGCTTTCGCCAGAAAAAGGGGGAGGGGGAATTCCCCACGGGGAGCATTGGCACGGCGCCGCCGCCGCGGTGCGATGCTCCAATTTTCGGCACGCCCAAAAATCCCCACGAAATTACGGACGGCGAAAAATGCGGGGGAAAACAAATGTAGCCCCGGTGAGTGGTGACTAGTATTTATCTGCGCCAAGAATTGATTATTAACGTAAAAAGGTATGAGTTTATTAAGATAAAATTCAGGAAAACCCAGGACAAAATTCGGCTACGCTACCTGATCGTTTGAAAGGGACTGGGTAGACGAGGAACGTCCATTTCGTCCACTAGCTCAGACAACTACGCTGCAAGCCAAAATACTCCCGCCGATGTCAAAAATTTTCCAAAGGTGTCCTGTCAAAAATGGTTGTTTGATTTTGAAATTTTGAAATTACTAAATCGTTATTTGGCGCGCCGCGTACGTTTCTAGACCTAGCAAACGACAGGGGACCCTGCCTCTGTCCCTTAAGATTGTAGTATCATGACTGAAAATGTCAAAGAACTTTCGCTTTTCGCTTTCCTGTTCTTTAAAGTCCGTTCCTGCAAATTTCCATGTCGTGAACTCCATTTATCTTTCTAAATCCATGCTGGTGACGTGTTTCCCTAGATTTTTGTGTACCCTGAACTTGATGTAAATTTAGCCTATAGTCTCTTTGTATTCCATTCCGTTTTCCTGCTCTTCTTGATGTTGCACGGCGGATTTTGCCCGTGACCAGAGGAGCCCATTGCCCATTTCGTTGCGGGACTCGATTCAATCCGGCCAATTATCTTTGCGCCGGTCGGTGGCTTCACCTACGCTCCGACCAAAAACGAGCATCCCATATCCCATTCCAATTCTGGCCTAGATTATTCCTATTCAGAATCCGCTCTTTTCTGAAAATAAATTTGCGTAATCTGGATCGTTTCGGAAATATCTCAATGGAAGAATGTAAAAAATGAATTTTCGATTAGAACGGTTCAGAAATTGCTTTTTGATGCCGTACTTCAATGACTTCGTGCTCATTTTTAGCAATCTGACCTTTCGAAGTTTCGTGATCTCTGGAAATTACTTTGCCCTTTCCCTTCGGAACGGTCCAATTTCCAGGAGCCCCCCTTGATCCGGATGCCCGGCTGAAAATGAGGGCAAAATGTGGCCAAATAGCAGCACTGCCCTTTTGCTCATCCTCTTCACGGTGGTCGGGCTGTTGTTGAACAGAGAAGTCGATGCGGCATATGCCACTAGTAAGTTCTTGGAAGAGGGAAAGCACGAGGGAGAGAGCGGGAGAGAGAGAAAGAGAGCTAGAGAGAGAGAAAGAGAGCGAGAGAGCGAGAGAGTCATAGAGGGCGAGAGAGAGAGAGAGTGAAGGAGAGAGGGGAAGTTGTTTGGTAGCACTGTCCCATTAAAGGTATCTTTAGACCACTACGGCAAGCACAAGTGCTTCAGCTGCATGTCCAGATACTATGGAGCCACGTGGCAGTTTGCTGGATATTCCAGAATATACATGGTGAGGAGAGCGAGAGAGAGAGAGAGAGAGGGAGAGAGAGAGAGTGAAAGGGCGAGAGACTGAGCTTGAAAGCGCTGGAGCAAGAGCCGCAAAATACCGTCAAAATTCAGGAACCGATCGCGTTCACCGACGACTGCGGCGAGCCACTCGCTAGAGGTGCCGACGTCCCTGTTCAGAATTGCGACGACGCGACCAACTGCATCACGATGGTCGAGGACCTCAAGATTGGTGAGTTCGTCGTCTCTATCTATCTCTATCTCTTTCGTTTACTCTATCTCTCTCGCTCTCCTGGAACTAGAGATTTTTACCTTTCAAAAACATTTAATCCCAAATTCTCCGTAACGCTCCTATTTACGGCGCCCGAAATTTTTGAGTGACAGCATGCTTTAATTCCCAACGACCTCACTCAACCCCGCCTTGTGGCTGTTTGCCAGATTGATATGCTGATCGGTGGTACCTCTCAGGGAGAGACAGGGGAGCATGAGGTAGAAAGTATGACAGAATGCCTGTTCCTCTCCATCCTATCCCTCTTATCCTCCTTCTTGTCATCCGTCATGTCACTCACAAGGAGTCTCGTCGCGACCCTCCTATCCTTCTTGCCTAAAACCAACCCGAAAACGCGCTTGGAATGATTGTCGCTAGCAGTCGGGGACCTGCCTGGCCAAAAAAAATGATAGTAATGGTATTTTAAAAGCGAAAAAATAAAAAGTTAAATTTTATCACTTCTAACGGGAAAAGCATTGAACTCCATGTCTCTTTAAATGAGCGCTGTAGCCAGTAAACCATGCAAAAGCTAGCAGAAAGCTTTGGGAAATTTTCTGCATGGAGCCTTTTTAAAGGGTCAGAACTCCGGGGATTTGAAGGCTAGCTAGCAAGCTAGCGCAGGATATTGCGGATTTTCCTGAAGTACAGGTCCCTTTAGAAGCGTCAGGAAGATCGGAAACTCGGGCAAGCTAGCACAGACCCTTGGGGATTTTCGTTCACTTCCCAGTCCCTTTAAAAAAACCCAACGCCTAGAAATTCGTCTGGCGAGCTAGCAGAGAGGCTTGGGGAAATTCTCGTTTGGGTCCGAATCCCTTGAAATGGGACGGACCCAGGTCATTTATAGGGCAAGCTATCGGATAAGCTTACGGATGTTTTTAATTTTTAACGTATCCCACTTCAAGACGCAGAGACTTTTCTTTCCCGCGCGTAACCAATTGATTTATGCCGTCCTTACGCCTTGAAGCACTTTTATGGCACTGTTTGGCTCCTATTAATGCGCCGGATTTGAGCCAACAAATCCCGGCAAAAAGTGACAAACTTTTACCGTCATTTTCAAGCCGTTCACTTGATCATCTCCATCAAAGACTTAACAAGACGTCACTAACCCATCATCCTATCAAAATCAGTAAGTGACGGACTGACTGCACCCAACCTCGACAACAACTTGTTCGCCTCCCCCAACTACTGCTTCCGCCCCCAATTAGGGTCCGTTGATTAGGGGGATCGGAGGCCAAGCGGTTGAGTCGAGGAGCAGGAGGGGGAAGAGGATAAGGAGGAGGAGAGGAAATCACTGAAGGGCCCTCCCTAAGGGCCATCCAATAACGACACATAAGGCCCATCTACTGGCATCAGGCGACTGACTGACTGCTCCATTAGCCCCCGATGGGGCCAACTGACTCTGTGATAGGGGTCAGAAATGGACATATAGAGTTCAGATATATTAAACCGCATTAAAAAGTGATATTATAACAATTCTAAAGCAAATTTTTGTGGAAAAACAGGGTGATTTATGAAAAAAACCTGATTTAGTTCAAATGGTTTTGTGCTGCGATTAATTAAATAGCATGAAATAATTATAATATGGTATTTTTAATGGGACTTTCTGTAAAAATTAAGGTACTGTAACTATATAAGGTAGCATGCAAGACAACCGAAATTTACCCAAATTTTTTTGCGATTTTCCGGTAAACACGCGAAAAATAGAGCAAAAATTGAACATTAACGAATGCCATAAAAGTCAGAGATGTGTAGCGTAGTCCACCGCCTAAAATACGCTGAAAACAACAAAAAGATATCAACACATAGCACACACGTGTGAAAAGGCGCGTACCGTAGTCCTGCGGTGGCGAGCAGCGCTCGTCTGCGCCCTTTTTTGCCGTGTATTCGAGTTTGATCCTATAATTACTATAGAAAAAGGTTAATACTAAATACTTGATTGGCAGGAAACAGAATCCATTTAAAAATACGAACGAAACAAATAATGCAACTTCATATTTCAGGCGTCGGCGCGAAAGGCTTCATCCGTGGCTGCTACAAGAATATCTTTGTTTTTGGATTTAACAGGTGTGTTGGAAACGTTGATTACCACCACCCTCGTCGAATTACAATGCCAAAACCAAGCTGTCATTTTCAGAACGGGTATCCCCGGCGCGTTGGCGCAGCGCCAATTCTGCGCCCACACCAACCTCTCGCAACTCATCAGCGGTGGCAAGCCGTTGGAGAGCGCTGTCAGGTAATCAATTTTATTGAATTAAAAGATGTAATAAAGTATTTAAATGAAGAATTAAATTATTTTACTTTTTCCAAGCTTTTATAGCAGTTATACGTCCAAAACCCTCTAAATTCGCATTTTTTAGCATCTGCTCGTGCCAAGGCGAATTGTGCAATGGCCATCCGCTGAGCTCCGCTACCAACCAAAACCTCCCATCCCTCCAAAAATTCTTCATTATATTCCTCCTTTTTCGATTTGTGTGTAAATATCTAGTCGCTGATGCTGATGGCCCGTGATTCACTCGTGAGAAAATGTCAATAAATATTCTATTTTGCCTGCAAAACGGGGAGGAAAATGCACAAAAATGGCAACTTTAGCGGCCATTTAAACCCCAAAAATGGACCTTTTAAAATTCTCGAAATAGTGCGGCCCTACTAATTCGACCATCCTCTTTTAGATCGCATAAAAAAACAGGGTCGAAACAAACTGTACCAAGCCAGTTCGGGTCTCTCGCGAATGGCCTTTTAAACTATACCTAAATTTCAAAACGAATTTAAACTTAAAATTCAACTGCTAGTATTACTTTCACTTGCAAATAAAGTACGACGCGAATTGCAAAAGGGCTACAAAAACCGCGCTAGATCGAGCCATCCAAGCTTATCTTCTACTACAACGCTTTTTACCAATTTCTCCCAAATACCGGAACCGCAAAACCCCCAAAAGGTGGGTGTGTTTTCGTCTTGTCCACCCCGAGTCGGCACGCATATAAATTCCGCTGAAATCAAGGGGGGTCGCCGCATATTCGCAGGTGCTTTTGGAAAAATCGGGCCATTCCACTCCTAGGCGTTCTCGCCTCTCCTTTTTCACAGATCCACTCGGACACCCCTGCACTCGTCTCTTCCCTACAGTCTTCACCTGTTCCCTTCCCTCCGCTTTTCTATTTCACCGGGGTTCTCCCCCTCCGGCCCTGACCCCCGTGGTCAGACACGTGAACACGCCACACACTGGCTGGCTGACCAGCCGACCCATCGCGCCAGCCGGGCCTGGATTTCGGCCAGAATTTGCTGATTCTGCCCTTAGTTTTGTCTATTTAGGCTGAATTTGATAGTTTTACTTTCAAGAAAACGCTCCGGGTTCACGTGGTAATTTGCAAACGTCGCATGAACGGTGTTGCTGTCATAACGCGCCAGCCCGGGCTGGATTTTGACCAGGATCCATGGATGTGGCAACTATTTTCGTTAATTTCGACTAAATTAAATAGTTTTAACATTGAACATCAAAACTCGGCGGTTTTGCACAAAAATTGACGGAATTACGCGTCGGGATGGGTAATCGGAACCCCAGCGGCCCGTTTCGTACGAGTGTGTTTTGCAAAAAGCGCCCTTTTTCAGATTTTTTCGGAAATTAGCCCAAGCCTTGCATTCATTGCGATTTTCCGCGGAATAGTGGAGAAAATCACGCAGTTGTTTCCTTTATTTTCAACTATTGCTTTGCTATGAGGCGGGAAATCACGGATGTGGCAGTAGATTCCTCCTTTCTTTACGAACTATCTGGCCTGAATTTGATCGTTTCGGCCTGAAAAAAACCCGGAAACGTGCTCGAAAAAAATAAATTTCTTTTTCGTCCAAACTTTGTACGGAACGTGGTGTAAGGACGGTTCACATCGTCATAGGTGTGTTTCGTACTTTCGGACATTGCTAAAAGGCGCTCTTTTCGGAGCCTTTCGGAATTTGCCATTCAATTCCGATTTGTGGCGAAGCCATTCATCAAAAATCAATTTCATGCATATGTCGCTGGTTTTATTGTTTGTAAGTGTTCTCGCTGGCTTTTCACCATCCGAATTCGCTTGACGGCCAAGACATCACTCTCTTTTCCGTGCCCATAATTCTTGGCTGGCCGTTTTCTCCGCGCCTCCTCGCTTTCTTCTTTCTTCTGCCGTTTTTTGGGTGTTGGGCCCTCTGCGCTTTTTTGCCGCGCATACATAATTGGCATCGTTCACCCCGGGCCTTCGGGCCCTCCACCATTGAAAAGAGCCTCCCCGATTCTTGCCCGGATTCACTTACTTCGAGATTTCGTTTGGGTTTTGGTCTTTGGCTCTGGTTCTTTGTACATCTTTGAAGCGATTATCTTATCCGTTGAGTTGTGGAACTGCAGCTCTATATATTTTGGAACTTTTCATTTGTTTACTTTCGAATTTCATGCCCTCCCTTTTTAGCTACTCTATCCCAACGTCATTCCCTAGTCTCCCGTGAGCGTGTATCGCATTTCTAGCTCCCCTTACCCCTCTTCGAGCCTTCTTCAAAGTTTTTTTCTTTCTGCGAATTCACGGTCCTTTCCCCTCGTGCTTCCAGAATCCCAAGGGATATCTCAATCCCAGCCCGGCCCATGCCTATGTAAAAATCGTTCCCGTGTTGTTTTTTTGGCTGAAAACTTTTCGGCATGATTTAGTTTCTAGCTCCTTTTCGACTCCTTTTGTTGTTCGGGCGCGTCGCGCTGCCGAATGGGCAAACTTCGTCAGGGGTTAGTGATTCAATTCAGCCGCTTCGCCGGCTGCGCTTCTTCTTTTCTTCTAGCCACCCACGAGATCCCATCTTTTGGTCTGACCCGCGGCGGCAGGAAGCGGAACTTTCGATTGATTTTGGGAAGTACATTCTTTTCCCTTGAAATGCCTAAATTTCTGCCTAAAGTAGTTTGTTTGGACCTCATTTTCCATTTTAGCTATGTTTTGATCTCCTTGAGACCTAGATAATGAGGAAATTTTGCAAATAACAGGCTTTGCCTTGCATTACAGCCTTGTTTTCGCAACCCCCAATGTTTACCTCACAGCTGTTCGCATTGACCCTCAAAAACATAGTACTTGGGGAGCATGAAGTGACGCTCCTTTTCGAAACCTGGATCCTCCTTGGTGTTCTTGACCTCGTCCCGGTTCTAAATAGCAACTCCTTCTTGCTAGGAGATGTTTTGCCAAGCGGGCTCGGGCCTGTTTCGGGTGGTCAGGAGCGAAAGCCACCCACGCGACGCCTTATCGTCTGCACCCGCACCCATTCTCGCCTTCCGCCCGCCAGATTCGGGTCAAAAATTTGCTAGATTTCCTTCCTCGTGGTGGCTTTCACTTGGCGAGCCTGAATATGGGCTCTTTTCAGCGCTTGACGGCTTATTTTCGACGTTACTTTGCTTACTACAAGTTGCGCTATGACATTTTGATCGGGCCGGGTTCAATTCTATTTCTAGCCTCCTGTTTTTCTTGCTGTAGCAAGATGCAATCTTTTACAGCCTATTTTCGGATCCAATCTCACCCCCGAAAGCATCTTGTCAGGTGCAATATGCTTGACGTAAATGGTTCTAATTAATTTTGACGGTCAGCCCGGCGCTTTACCCTGTATTTTTGCCACTATATAAACCTTGTTGGCGCTTCCGTTCATTTTTCCCCCATGGACAAATATTGGGACATTTTTTGGGCTTGCTGTTGCCACGCGCCTGCCCTGGATGCGCTTTTTTCGTGGCTTCTCCGGCCGGGTTTGCCTTTGGCTTTTGGCCGTAAAACAAGCTTTTGCTGGTGATTACGAAATTTTGTGATAAAAATGTGCCGACGGGTTTGAGTCGATATCGTTCCTGGGGAAGCCCTTCGCCTCGGGCTCGGGGGTTCGGCTATTCAAACAATTTGCCCTCTTTTAAGCGCCTTGTTCCGGTCAACGAAAGGGAATTTTCTAGGTTTCGTCATCTTTACTTCATCGATTGTTCTCTTTTTAGCCTCGAATTTTGTGTAAAAACTAAAACAATCTTTTTTTTCCAGGCATGTCCGCAAAGGCCGTCAGCGAACTTTCGGGCAAGGAGCTACTCTATAGGTATTTTTTTCTAAACATATCCGTATTTTTTTTTCGTTTTAGCCACCTGGAAAAGGAGGGCCTGATCGATGCCCCGCACCTCATCCGTCTGACCGAGGGCGATGACTTCAGCAAGGTCTACGAGGAGCACGAGCGTCTCCATGGGCCCTCCGCAGAGGTAATGGTTTGGGCATCTTTTCAGACAAAACGGAATCATTTCGTACACCAAGAATTTGACCCCAAAAGCTCTCTTTTTTGCAGTTCCCTTGACCACCACTGCTATATGTTTTTTCCGGGCCCTTATCAGCAAAGTGTTCGCATGCCGGCAATAATCTCTGGCTACACCCAGGGGACGATCCTGAGGCCGGACTCGCCTTTTAAAGCCCGAATCGCCCCACTATTCACGTGGGCGCCTGGGGATTTCATTTGAGGGCCCTAAATGGCGCGATGTTTTTGTGGTCTGATTCCGGGGGTGGTCCATTCTCTGATGGGCTGATCGGGGCCTGGAGAAATAGTTAGAAAAATGTTTTGAGCAGGTTTAGCCGGAAGGGGTTGGCATGAAAAGCAAGGGTTCTTATGCATTATCGGGGGGGGGGGGAAGGAAGCCGCTTTGTTCTTGTAAGTTGCTAGATGTCTAGCAACTTAGCACCAATTAGTTTACTGTGGTTTTTTGATCGAGTAACCAAGGTTGAAGCGGAAGAGCTATTAAGCAACTTCGTGAAATACAGTTACCGTTACAGTTAAAAATATCATCCCTCCGCTGATGCAGAAGCACCAAAAAGTGATAACGCCCATAAACTATCCATTTAGAAACTCGTCGTCAAGCCCGACCAGCTCATCAAGCGTCGCGGCAAGCACGGACTCGTCAAATTCGGCGGAAAGGCCGACATCGAGAAGTGGTTCAAGGAATGGCAGGGCACTTACGTCCAGGTGGAAGTCTTTTTTTGTGTGATTTGACGGAATTTTTTAGGTTGGAAAGACTACCGGGCGCCTGAGCACATTTATCGTCGAGCCGTTTTGCGCGCACGCCGACGCCGACGAGTTCTACATTTGTATCTACAGCGGCCGCAACTCGGACACGATTCTCTTCTACGAGCAGGGCGGCGTCGACATTGGAGATGTTGATCAGAAGGTCAATTTCGTTTTTATTTTGCTCTAAAAATACTATTCTCGTTTAGAAAAGAGTATTTTCAACATTTTTTGGTGATAAATTATGATTTTTAGGCCCGGCGTCTCGAAGTCCCCGTCGAGCTCGACGATGCGCAGATGACCCTCGCCGATGCTGATCTCAAAATGCTTCTCGGCGATCTGGGAGCCCGCACGAGGTATAAAATTCTTTACTTGCACTTATTTATCTTTTTAGTATCGTCACCAAGTTCGTCAAGCAGCTCTACAACGTCTACAAGGACTGCCACTTTACCTACCTGGAGATCAATCCGCTAGGTAAATTTTTGGCGTGGTTTTTGAAATTCTAAATTTAGTCGTCGTCAACAACAAGGTGCACATTCTGGACCTGGCGGCGAAGCTCGACGAGACGGCCCTGTTCATTTGCAGCGAAAAGTGGAAGGGACGCGGCAAGGAGATGGTCGAATTCCCGGCTCCTTTTGGACGTGATTTGACTGAAGAGGTAAAAATTCTCGAGCTTTTCAACAGCTGTTTCGTTTCTAGGAGGCCTACATCGCCGAGATGGACTCGAAGACGGGTGCCTCCTTGAAGCTGACGATCCTCAACCGCGAGGGCCGCATCTGGACGATGGTGGCGGGCGGAGGTGCTAGCGTTGTTTTCACGTAAGCTTGCCTCTCCGGATCTCCAATTTTGCTTTAGTGACACCGTCTGTGACCTCGGCGGCGCCTCCGAGCTGGCCAACTACGGCGAGTACTCTGGCGACCCGTCGGAGAGCCAGACGTTCGAGTACGCGAAGACGCTGATGTCGGTGATGACCGAGGGCAAACCACATCCCAAGGGCAAGGTGCTGATCATCGGCGGCTCGATTGCCAACTTCACCAATGTGGCCAAGACTTTTGGAGTAAGGAGTTTCTATCATTCTTCATAGTCTTTTTTGTTTTAGGGTATCGTCAAGGCGTTCGAGACGTTCGTCGACAAGCTGAAGGAGCACCACATCACCATTTATGTGCGTCGCGGTGGTCCCAACTATCAGCAAGGACTGCGCATTATCAAGGATGCCGGTAAGGTTTTTTGTCTTTGCCTCTAATTTATCTTCTTTCAGCTGACCGTCTCGACCTGCCGATCCACGTCTTCGGCCCGGAGACGCACATGACTTCGATCGTCGGCGCTGCCCTGGGTGTTCGCCCAGTCCCTGCCCCGCCAATTGCCCCTAAGACCACTGGCCAGTTCCTGTTGTCGCCGGAAACAAATGTAAAGTCCTCTTTTTTTTCAGGCTTGATTTTGTGTTTTAGACTGCTGGCACCATCAAGAACGTCGACTCGTCGGCCGAGCTCCGGACAATGGTGCAAAAGGAGAGCGACACCAAGTCGCTGCCCAAGGACCTCTACCAGACGCTTTTCGAGAACAACACCAAGGCCGTCATCTGGGGCCAGCAGCAGAAGGCTATTCAAGTATCTTTTCATGCTTTTGTGCCATTTTCTCACCGAAAAACTCCGATTTCCAAACCTGAATTTTTGATACCAGTGGGCTATGCGTGTCCAACTTAGCAAAAATTGCTTTGAAAAACGTCTAGATGCGCTTCGTAAGGTTTTTACTTTCAGTTTTTAGGTTATCAAGAATTTGCCGTTCAAAGCTATAAATTTCCATTTTTAGGGTATGCTCGACTTCGACTACGTTTGTCGCCGCGCCTCCCCATCCGTCGTCGCCGCCACCTACCCACTCGCCGGCGATAACAAGCAGAAGTACTACTTTGGCCAAAAGGAGATCCTCGTCCCGTCTTATCAGAAGATGAAGGATGCGTTCTCGTCGCACCCTGATGCCAGTGTTATGGTAAAATGAATGTTTTCGACCAAAAAAATCTTTAGGTTACTTTCGCGTCGCTGCGCTCCGTTTTCGAGACGGTCAAGGAGGCGCTGTCGTTCCCGCAAATTCGTGTCATCGCCATCATTGCTGAGGGCGTACCGGAGAATCAGGTAGCTTTTGATTTTCCAAACGTTTTGATTTTCGCTTTTAGACCCGGAAGTTGATCAAGCTGGCCGACGAGCGCGGCGTGACAATCATCGGCCCGGCGACTGTTGGTGGCATCAAGCCCGGCTGCTTCAAGATTGGCAACACCGGTGGAATGATGGACAACATCCTCGCCAGCAAGCTCTACCGTCCTGGAAGGTATTGCTTAACGAATTCCACCCACTTTACGGATGTTTGACGCAAATTTTCACGATGCTAAATTGCATTGTTCCGATTTTTCTCATTCTGGGTTTGAATTCAGACGGGCACGTTCCCTCGATTTGCCGAAAACGCATAGCTGACGAAAGCGGGCAATCGAAGCCTAATGAATTTGGCATAACGAAAATCTGCGCCGTAAAAATTCCGCGCTGTGAAAATTCGGGATCGACAGATTCGTTAAAATCAACGTTCATCCTACTTTCCGGCTTTTAAACTACAACTAATTCCAGCGTCGCGTACGTTTCCCGCTCCGGCGGCATGTCCAACGAGCTGAACAACATCATCAGCAGCAACACGGACGGCGTCTTCGAGGGAGTTGCCATCGGTGGCGATCGCTACCCCGGCTCTACCTACACAGATCACGTGCTGCGCTACCAGAAGGATGACAGGTATCAAAATACCCTTCTCTTGTGTTTATATCATTTTTAGAGTAAAAATGATCGTGCTGCTCGGCGAGGTCGGCGGCACTGAAGAGTACAAGATTGTCGACGCGCTCAAGAACAAGCAGATCACGAAGCCGTTGGTCGCGTGGTGCATCGGCACTTGTGCTGATCACATCACTTCCGAGGTATAAATCTATTTTTATTGTTAAGAATTTTATTTTTACATCATTTGATTTTTTCTAAATTTTTGTTTAGGTTCAATTCGGCCACGCCGGTGCCTCAGCCAACGCTCTCGGCGAGACGGCCGCCGCCAAGAATTCATCCCTACGCGCCGCCGGTGCCATTGTGCCCGCCTCGTTCGACGATCTGGGCAAGGAAATCCGTCAAGAATACGAGCGGCTCGTCAACGCCGGCATCATCGTACCCAAGGAGGAGGTGCCCCCGCCGGCCGTCCCCATGGACTACTCCTGGGCCCGCGAGCTGGGGCTCATCCGCAAGCCCGCCTCGTTCATGAGCTCGATTTGTGACGAGAGAGGAGAGGTATAATTTTGCGCTCTTTTTTGGGAATTCACGGTGCAGATTCCTGGTAACGTAAACGCCAGTGAAGTTTTTAGTAAAGTTTAGCTGTCTTGCATCCGGTAAAATTCACTATAAAATTTTGAAATTTTGGTAGGAAACTCGTTTTTTTTTCTGCTTTATTTCCCTTTTTCCAGGAGCTCCGCTACGCTGGCGTGCCGATCACCCGCGTGCTCGAGGATGACATGGGTGTTGGTGGGGTGCTGTCCCTTCTCTGGTGCCAGGTATGAGTTTTTTCAAAGCATCAATTTTCGTTTTTCTAGCGGCAACTGCCCGCCTACGCCAACAAGTTCATCGAGATTTGCCTGATGATCACCGCCGACCACGGACCCGCCGTCTCCGGTGCCCACAACACGATCGTCTGCGCGCGCGCCGGCAAGGATCTGATCTCATCGCTCGTTTCTGGACTTCTTACAATTGTAATTTTATCTTTTTCAAACAAATCTCCATCTTTTTAGGGAGACCGCTTCGGAGGAGCTCTCGATGGAGCCGCAAAGGCATTCACGGAAGCGTTCGACAAGCAGCTCAGCCCCCACCAGTTCGTCAACGAGATGCGGCACCAGGGCAAGCTTATCCCCGGCATCGGACATCGCGTCAAATCGGTATTTTTGTTTACCCCGGCCGTTTACGTTATTTTAGATCAACAACCCGGATAAGCGTGTCGAGATCCTGAAGAAGTTCGCCCTCGACCGCGCCGTCTTCACCCAGGACACGCCGATCCTCAACTTTGCCCTGGAGGTCGAGAAGATCACCACCGCCAAGGTAAATTTCTAGATGTTTTTTCTAACTGATGCATATTTTGGAATTATCATCAATGTCGTGTTTCAGAAGCCCAACCTCATCCTGAACGTCGACGGTGCGATCGGTGCCATCTTTGTCGACATCCTCCGGCACTCGGGCCAGTTCACCCAAGCGGAAGCCCAGGAGATGATCGAGATCGGCGCCCTGAACGGCCTCTTCGTGCTCGGCCGTTCCCTTGGATTCATTGGTACGCTTAATTTATTATTTTTTATTGAAATTTTTAAAGCTGCATTCAAATTTGAAAACGGTGACGCGTTTTAATAGCCCTCACGCATCTATCGAAATGACTGACTGTCCTATTTTTGTTTTTCCTTGTCGCGATGTCAAAAAATATGAGAAACGCTCTCTTCTGCCCTTTTATATAGGTTATCCTCACTTCCGTAAAATGCAAATTAATTCCTCTTGTTGCGGTGCCTAAATTTTAACAAATCCTTCATTTCACGTAATCTACGATTTTCATTTATTGGATTCAATCATCTCTGGACTATTACGCACGTAACAGGCTTTGAAAATTTCCTCAATTGAGATACTCTAGCATACTCCAGCGCTTTCAAAATTCATATTCTTTATAAAGAAATCGTTACAACTCCCGATTTTAGGGCACTACCTCGACCAGCGCCGACTGAAGCAGGGTCTCTACCGCCATCCCTGGGACGACATCACCTACGTGCTGCCCGAAGGCGAATTCGACCGACCATAAGCTCTCATTCCACCCACCCCCATTCCTAGCATAGTGTTGTGTGGTTCACTTTTTATGCAAGTTCCACGTTCATCACCCCTCCCTGATCGGCATAGTGCAGTGTGTGCTCTGCAAAGTCTTCAGTTTAGCCTTGTGAATTCTGTGCTTTTTCTAGCCCCGTGTTTGTTTTTTCTTGTGCATTCCCTACTCTTGTGGCAATCTCCCCCATCTCTCTTCCTCTCTAATTTATTGCCGGCGCAAATAATTCATTTATTTCGCGCCCCGGACCGCCCTGTGAATAGTATTTATTACTTTGAGCGTAATAAATCTTTAGCATTTCATTTGAATTGCAAGTGTGAACCCTTACGGAACTTGGGATGAACTTACAGGGTCGAACTCGTCGCTAAAGTTGCGGTTTCTGATTTTTCGGACACCGCGATTAGGGCTGAAGAACTGGTGATCGCTACAGGATGATTCGATTAAAGGTGGATAGCATGAAGAATCGGATGCCCCGCGGTCTCTCGAGAACTCTAATGAGCGCTCACCAATCCCTGGCGTGGATTTGGGTTCAGAAAAAGCACGTCGAGGGCTATAGCCGAAGAACTTGTTGGAAATCACAGGACCGGTGTCGGCAAGAAGGATAAGGTACGCCTGAACTTTCGTTTAGTTGTATCCTAGGTTAACTATACATTAAACGACCGGTGTTTGAAAGAATTGTATCGTCACTACATGTTCAGCTTTAGATAGTCGTATTTTTTATTCTATTTTTCTGAAGGAAGCCTTGTTTATAAGCTGAGACCTTATTACCAGTAATTCTACTATTTGAAGAAACGTTTTCAAGGGGAAGTGTGCAGAAAGTTGACAAAAAATCCAGAAAAATAACGCTACAATTTTTATGTCTTGAATTGGCTCACAAATCACAGAAAGCTAGCAACGCTACAAAAAGGGTGAAGTGCGGCAAAATTCAATAAATCCTTTTCACTATAATTAACTTGCCCTAAAAAACTATCAATAAGTTATACTCAATAATAAATCTTTATTTTCTATTAGAGTGGTCAGACTATCACAATTTCAACGCGTTTTTTTGCTAAACTGGCAAAAAATTTTATTTTGTTTATTACGTTATTTATTGTTGCGCATTTACGTGCCATTTAAGGAAATATGTAGGTAAATACCTATACGTGAATCTGGAGCTCACAGTCTCTTTATTATTTCTTTATCATTATTCACAAGAATCACTTCTTGTGGAGCCTAGACTGGCGTCAGCAGCTTTTTTCCTGGGGCCAACGTGTTATGAATTTTGATTGTCCTTCTCCTGAGTTTTTTCTTTCTGTGTGTATCGGTCTGTCTATGTTGGTGTGAAAGCTAGCCACCGGGGCTGCTGGCCGGTTGGAGGGGGGCGTTGCCTCGGCCACCGACACTCTTCTCCGGGCCGGCTTCTGCTTGGTGGCTTGAAAAGGGGGGTATATTTCAGAGTGTGTGGATCGAGAGTGACTAGGTGACCGGGCCGCAGCTCAACCTTTATCTTTTCTTCGGTTTACTTTCACCCCAACACGGGGTAAAAATATAATTGCTTGGGTTTTCTGGCCGGGACTGTGCTTAGATTTTACTTGGAAATAACCTGTTTGTTTTCAGTAATTTCATTCCATTAACTAATCTACCTAGACTTTTTCGAGAAAGTACCTTTGCACAAACCGGTTTTTCCTGGGTTTCTCCAGGGTTTTTTTTTCAGTAATTCCGGAATCCCGAACCCGAGAGTTTTAGCATTTTTCATGTAGAACCGTGCGGTGCTGAAAATACGCTGTAGTGTTGCAGATTTTTTCAATCTCTGTTATCACGCTTATTTTAGTTTGAAAACTATGTTGTCTCTCTCCCGCTCCCGCTCTCTCGCTCGCTCTCTAGCTCTTCTATCGCATGTCTGTCTCTCTACCATACCTCTCTTTTTGTCCTTTTCGCACTCTCACTTCATTCTTTCTTTTCTCTTTGTACTTTCGCTTTTTCGGTACCGATTTCCAAATACTTTTGGCAACTTGTTAAAAGTTTCAAGGTGAGCTTTAAAGAAGAAAAATTCCTATTCGACGCGACAAAAAATTCGGTTAATTGCGAGTTTAAGCCTTCCCATCTATCCGATCTAGTCCAAATCTCCAGAAGTGTACCTTTCGTTCCTAACTATTATTAGAAGTCCATTTCTTCCGATTCACTGCCCTGAAAATTAGGCGCATATGAATACACAGCACCCATACGTAGATGCACGCGTGCCCCCAGGGCATTGTCCTCGTTAATCCCGCACCTCGTGTTTTTGGGAACTTTCATGTCGTCATAATGTTTTTTATTCACTCGGAGAAGGGCCATTGTGGTGTGGGCAGTTATTTTTAAGGGTGTGAGGACAGTAAAATGGTTTTTTATAATTTCTGGAGAGAAGAATTGGAAAGAAATCCTACTATCCTACTATATTCCTACTCCTACTATATATAAAAAAAATAGTGTCTGTGTGTGTGTGTGTGTGTATATTTGCATGCACTTCCGTTTGGATGTTCCGCACCTACAGCCTCGGGAAAGGGTTTTTTGGATAGGGAAGAAACGACAATAGGTTTAGAATGGTCCGGAATCGACTGCACACACATAAAAATTTTGAAAAATTGTGGTTTTCGCTATTAAAAATAGGTTTTTGTAAAACCCTGTTTGTTAGGGGAAATTAGCATGCGCCGGAAGTAGGAGGAGCCTATATAAAGGGACAGAGGAGCCGTTTTTCACTTTTTTTTGCTAGAATTCAGGGAGAAACATGCAAATTAAGGACTTTCACAGGTCCTGGACGGGGCCAGGGTTGAAAAGCCGCGAAGCGGTTTTTCAACCCTGGTTGCTGCTTAAAAACTTAAAAGAAAAAAAGAAAGAAACTTAAAAATTATTTAAGTCTCTCTCTCTCTCTCTCTCTCTCTCTCTCTCTGCTCTCTCTCTCTTTCTCACCCTGTCTCTTGCACTCTGTCGCACCCTCCCTCACTCTCTCACTTTCTCACTCACTCTCTCTCACTCTCTGTCTCTCTATGTCGTTCACCTTCTCGCTCACTGTGTGTTTCGAATTCGCCGTCGAGCTTTGTAAAAAGTATCTATTCGCCTTGATCCCGTTCTCTCTCTCTCTCTCTCTCTCTCTCCTCTCCGCTGTCTCTCTCCCTCTCCCTGTCGCCAAAAATTGTAGCTATCTGGACCAAATTTGAGAAATTCCAGACATTTCTCGAATCCCCTAACCATTCCAAAAAATTCACCCTCGCCTAATTATGCCCATTTCTTCCTCCTTCTCCGCATTTTCGCCTTTTCCCCCACCGGGAATAAATTTCGGCCTATTTTGGGTGGTTTTGTTATTTTTAGTCCGCCTCCTCGGGGGATGTGACGCAAATACGCAAATCGCTAATTATTATAGAGGGCAATTTGGGTGGTCGTCGCCAGAGGGGGAAGGCGGTATTTATATGGAGGAGGAGAAGAAGAAAGAGATATTTGGCCGTCGTTTTTGGCAAAATGTCCGATAGACTGTGTTTTGTAATGGAATTACGGCAGCATCTGCAAGAGGTGTTTTCGCGAGTCGAAATGACCAGTCTTTTTCTGCAGGGAGGGCGGAAGTGAAATTTGCAGCCCGGTTTTAGGGGGGGTGTTTTCTCAGTTTTTGTACTTAAAAATAGGTTCTCATTACTTTCCTCTCTCCTTATATTTTAAAGGGGCCGGGACAGGAGGGAGTGACTCGACTCAACCTGTCGCGAAATTCGAAATTTTTAAATTTTTAGAGATTTTAAGGAGAGTATTACACATCGAAAGGATTCGCGGTTTTTTTGGCGCCTGAAAATTGGCTTTCGAGGCTTATTCTGGCTCATTCTCTCGCGCTCTCTTGCCCGCTCATGCTCACTGTCTCTTGCTCGCTTTATCTCTAGCTGTCCCTCCTTTCCTAAATGACGGTTTTGCTTCCGCTGTCATCATCCCCTTGGAAAATTGGCTTTCGTGATCCCCTTTAAATTGTTCTCTCTCACTCACTCCTTCCTTCTCTCTCTCTCTCTCTATCTCTCTCTCTCCCTCTGTCTCTCTCGCCTTTTTACTATTTTCCCTAAAGCCGCTACTACCCTACCCGTACTTTTTCGAGCCCTTCCAGACTTGATCGCTCAGCCTGAGCTCAGCCTGCCCCCAAACCCCCAATTTCCAAGCCCTTTTTATCTGATTTCTTTGCGTCATTGCTCCTCCTCTTGCAAACGACCTTATTGCCCGGAAATTGGACTGTCTGCTCGGTCCAAGAATAATCATTTTCAGGAGGGGCCATTTACAATCTGAAGACGAGACAGCAAGCTGGCGTTGGCCCACGATTTGATGTTTCGGAATGAGGATGAGGTGGGTGGATTTGGGAAAGAGAGAGAGAGCGCGAGAGATAAAGATAGCGAAAGAGAGAGAGAGAGAGAAAGAGAGCGCACGCGCGAGAGAGATTGATGCAGAGGGAGGGAGAGAAAGCAATAGATACAGAGAGAGAGAGAGAGAGAGAGAGAGAGAGAGATGAGCGATAGATACAGAAAAGAGAGAGAAAGAGAGAGAGGGAGTTAGGGTGAGAGAGCGAGAGAGAGTTCTTCAAAGAGATGATGAGAGAGAGAAACTCATTATTCCTGCTATTTTACAAATTAAATTACCGGAATGTTGCCGATTTTTTCACCTCAAAATCCGTTCCGAAAATCCAATTTCCACGGACCTTTTTACTCCACCGGAAAAATTCCCCTCTTTCCAGGGTCTCAAAGTGGAGAGGTCCGAGTTGACGCTGATGTACGACATGTGGCCCGACAATTTCGGGTCGCTGTTTGATATGGGATGCAAGGTAAGCAGCTTATGAGGCTTACTTGGCATAAGTTTCCGATTTTTAGCTTTAACTTGCTTTTTCAGGCCTTCGAAATGCTCTTCCATCACCGGCCCCAGCTGAAAGCCTATTTTGTGGATGATTGGAAAGAGTCGGAGACGATTAAGAAAATTATATTAACGCTGGAGCAGGTAATGAGATC